CTATCATGAACATTAGGCATTCTCATGAGGACTGTCTCCTCCTTTGAACAGATCTGAGTGTTGGATATGTTTTAAGTGTAATTGTAATTACATATCAGAGCTGAAGGAAGCCTAGAAGCCTTGGGAGTCTAGTTCCCTGGAACTCCTAGAAGGGTTTTTAGGGGTTTAGAAAGGTTGGAAGACGAGGTCAGAAGTGGGGATGTGCAAAGCCTGAAGGAAATTAGAGACGGGCCATTTTCAGTGCTCCCCTGGTGATTCCTGCGATCACCCCCTCCCTTCCATGCTGTTCCCTCTTGTTCATCCCAGTGACGGGTCAGCCTCACTTACTGCCTCCTCCACACTCCCAGGCCAACTATGAAGGGTGAAGCTTGGGTTCTCTACAAATCTGGGGTCTCAGTTGTGACCACAAAACTCTTGCAAGCTTCTAATTCAGTTTCTCAAACTATGGTCTTGGGACATATCCCAGAAAACCACCTGGAGAATGATCTTGAATCAGTACCTTTGTGGGGTGGGCCAAGGAATTGGCGTTTTAAACAAATTCCCAAGGACCCTAACCCTCTCTGCCTGAGCTGATAGCCTTGTCTCTAACTTTCTGGGAAGTCTAACGCAGGCTAACAAGAGGCAGCTTTCTATCTGGCAGGTGGTAGGCACTCAATGGATGTTGGTGGAATGAGTGAGAGATTCCATGAATAAATTCCATTTTCCTTCTCTCTCCTTTCTTTTCTTCAAAAGAACTTAAAGTTCTTTTGTGTCTTCCTTGTCTTTCCACTCTCTACCCCATGTCCTGACCAGGTCCCCAGTAGGCTTTCTGGCCTCATGCAGGATCTTGACTCTCAGTTATTCTCTCCTGTATCTTTAGTGTCTTTCTTTCCGCCAGCTCTTTCCTCATCACCAGGTGGCCCCAGGCCTCCTTCATGGTTCTTGTCCTCTCTTTCCCCTTGTCTCTGATCAACATTTGCTACTTTCTCACTTAGATTAATGGCATCACCATTCTCTCACCTTCCTCCTGCACCAGCCATCTTTGACTCTTCTCTCTCTCATCTCCACACCCAATCTGTGGCTCAGATCTTTGTTTTATGTCCACTATCTTTTTCGTGATGTTGTCCCCTGTGTCAGACCTTCATCTGTTCAAGTCGGGTCCACTGCAGTAGCTTCTGTTCTCTGACGTCTGCCCTCCAAATTACACTGAACACTTAGCCCAATTAATCATTCGAAGAGTTAGCTCTTTTCATACCATTACCCTGTTCAAAATGTTCCTCTGACTCCCCATTGCTAGCAGCATAAAATCCCCAATCTTTAGCCTTCACAATTAGACCCCTATCTAGTTTTCCAGATTTATCTTCCATGATTCCCTAGACTTCCAGTCTTCCCCAAACCCTAGATTCCTACTTTTCTGGACCTAAATACTTGCTGCGTTCTCTTGCCTCCTCATCCTTATCCTTGTTCTTTCCCCAGCATCACTGCTCCCTCCTCAATCTTTTCAACTCCCTTCAACCACAATGGCACCTGTTCCAGGACGCCTTCCATCATCCCCAGACATAAGTGCATCCCTGGAACCTCCATAGCTCCCCGCTGGCCTCTTCTCTGCCTCACTTTGTGGTTATTTATGTATGTCTTAACTTCTGAGATGATCAGCTCCTTGATGGTAGAGGTAACAACATCAATTACAGCACGTCCAATGGCAGGGACTACTGTAATTCTTGATTGAGCACCTACCGTGCATAATAGGTCCTTCACACACAATAACTTTAAAATTTATCATCATACTCTGATTTAGTTGTTCTCTCCATTTCAGAGATATGGAAGCTGAGGAGTAGAGGGGTAAAGGTCATAAGGCTGACAAGTGGCAGGGATGAGATTCAAACCCAGGGATCCAAACCCACTCTCTTTCTTCTCCATAACATGGCTCCCAAGGCAAAGAAGAAAACCCACATTTGTTGAGCAACTATGTGCCAGTGCTGGCAGGGATCCAAAACTGACCAAGACAATTCCAGGAAATAGTATATATGAAAGTGACTAGCACAGTGTCTGTCACGTAGTGGGTGCTCAGTATGAATGCTCACTGAGAAATGGGTGGAGTCAGTGTCTGCTGCACGCCCGTGCTTGCTCCTAGAGTAGCGGCTGTGTCCTACTGTGGGGAGCTGTGGAGGGAAGCCTGGGGCTGAGAGCTCATTTGGGCTCAGCCAAACGCGTTTATGATGACCTTGAGCAAGTCTCACAGCCTCTCCAACCTCATTTCCTCACAGCGAAATGAAAAAGCCAGAGGACATTTTTTTCTAAGGTCTTTCCAACTCTAAGAGGTGAGGTGATGTGGGGGTCAATGAGTTGTAAACAGCAAGGCAAATACAAGCGGAAGTGATTGTTTTAATACTTTAGACGCTTCCTGCAGCAAGGGCGCTCCTCTGGATTTTAGGAAGACTGGATAATTCCCTTCTCAGAGGCTCAGTTTCTGAGGCCAGAGTCCCCAGCTCTCCTGGGCCTGCAAGGACTCAGGGGCAGAGGACAAATGGCAACCCTTCCCTGATGCGTGGGAGAGGGGACGCTGCAGGGGACCCAGTCTGTCTCACGGGGCACTGACTTCTGCAGTATCTGGCCTTGCTTGGCAGAGAGTTAATTAATGTCTGCAGGGCCAGTTAGCAGAAATAACAATTGCTTTGATTAAGGGAGAGATGGCTATGAGCTTTGCTTTAAGTAAAATGGACAAAGAAGTGATAGGAAATCATCCACTTGGCCTCCTTTGCTGGGCCTGCTGGCTTGGCCTCCCTCTATCCTGGCTGCTGACTCCTCCAGCTTCCTCCAGGAAATGGGGCCCCGCTCTCCAGCTGTGCTTTACAAGGACCCTGGTTTTTGTCATTGTTGCAGATAAGAGGGTCGATACTGCTGTGGGTTTTGTGAATGTGAGTTTGGAGAGGGGCCCAAGATGCCCAGGAAGAGGCGATGATGGCAGAGCTGATGAAGCTGGGCACAGTCAGGAGAAAGGCGCGCTGCACACCGACAGTTAGTATGGCTTACCCTCCCGGGGCTGCCGCGCGAGCGCGCTGTTCTGAGCGCTTTCCCTGCATTTTCTCATTTAATCCGAACACCCACCCCAGGAGGAAGCGTGAACTCTCTGGTGGAGGTCGCTTGGCTTGTGAGTAATGGAGCCAGGATTCTAACGCAGATCTGTCTTGGGTGACAAAATGGTTACTCATTATAACCTACCTCCTCCTGGGCAAGGAGGATGCAAAATTTTGGGAGAAGAGCAAATGGGAACCGAGGACAGTGGACTTAAGAGGGGAGAGGGATGAGACTGAAAGTCCTCAAACTTGCCCAGGTCGGCTGCTGAAAGCTTCAAATGCTAACATTTGTTGAGCCCTACTATGTGGGAGGCGTGGTGCTGAGGAGCATTGCTGGTACAGCTCACTGAATCCCCACAGTAACTGCGCATAGTAGGTGTTCTTTCTCATAGGAGGAGATTGAACCTGGAGAGACTAACGCTCTGTCCAAGTCACGCGGCCAGTGAAAACTGCCAGATCTTGAACCCAGTTCTATTGTAGGCCTAAAGTTCATGCTAGCTCCATCGTCCAGCACTGCCGCCCACTTTGCAGAACATCACAAAATGCTGATAGGTCCAGCCTTGGCATAAAGCACACTGCTCACCCCCAAAGGCAGGAGAACGGAAAGAGTGGGAGAGGCACTGGGAGACAGAGCTCTTGCTGATCGCTTCAAAGCGCCTGCCACTTGGCCAGGCACTCCACGTGTGTTTAATCTCATTTAGTTCTCGTAACACCCGGGTGGGAAAGGCATAATTGCTCACATTTTGCAGCTGAGTGTATCGAAGCTCAGAAATGGCAATTGACTTGCCGAAGGTCACAGAGCTGGTAAGTGGTGGACCAAGGATTCCCATCCAGATGGGCCCAGCTTCAAGGCCCAGGCTAATTAAAAATATAATTTTGTGCTAAATCAAGTAGCATCTCATACCAGATTCTATTAAAGCAGAGGCCAACAGTTAAAAGTAAATTTGTAGTTGAAAATTTATAATTAAGGCGATCATCAATTAACTTATTTTTCTGGGAACAGAGAAAGGTTTGCTGTTATTGGATTTTAGCTGCAGAAGAATCTGGAGCCTCGTTTAAGAACCACAGAGGCTTTTCAGTAAAGCAGGAGTTGAGAGAGCAGCTCGGGGAAGCTGACCCAGGCTGCATGCCCAGAAACGGGACTCGTTCAAGAGCTTTCTGGGCATGGAGAGCAGGCGGGAAGCACAGCCAGGTTAGCTGCTATCCGGGAGAGGAGTGTTGGCTTCAGTTAGCCTGTACATAGAATCTGCCAGAAGGGATCATATGTTCTCAAAAAACGGGGAGTAGGGACAAAATAATTTGATCATTTGTCTTCCCTGCTCAATAACCTTCAGTGGCTCCCCATTGTATCCCAAATAAACCCTAGAAGCCTTACCTTGACCTTCAAAACTCAGCACAATCTGGTCCCAATTTACATTCCCAGTCTTGTCTCTCACACATCACTCTACATAAAATTCATACTCATGTTAAACTGATCCACTTTTTCTTCCAGTAACCCAATTCTGAGTCTTTCCCCTTTCCTCCGTTTTCCATCCAAATTTACCTAGTAAAATCCTGCTCATTCTTCAAGTTCCTTTCCTAGGTGACTCCTCCATGAAGTCCCCTCTGATTGTCCTCCAAGAAGCAGATACTCCCTCTATTTATGCTGTACACATGGCACGGATCACATGGTGCACTGAATTGAGATTATTTATGTACATCCCATCTTCCCTACTAGATACAAGCAATACCTCATGCCTGTGAGTGTATGAATAAAACAGTAATAATAGCTAAAAGGTTAGTGTCTTGTCTATGACATCATTGTAGTTAAATAATGGTCAGTGTTTAAATTCAACAATTTAAAAGGACTTAACTCGAACTTGCTTAAAAGTGTGTCAGAGTCTTGAAACGTTTTGAGAGTTAGGTTTTTTTGGAGTTCATAAATGGTAAATACTCACTCATTCGTTCATTCATTCATTCAGCATCCTCAGTGTGGAACAATATATTTTTTCTCTGACAACCTTGTTTGAGAGCTTGAGGGTACAAGCACCCCCAATGAGATTGGGTCTTTTAGGAACTGCAATGACAGGCCCTTAGTGCCATCAGGTCTGCCGGAGTGTGTGTCTGCACGTGCACACATGCCCTGTTTGCTGAGTCCCCATATTTGCCAGTCACCATCCTAGGGTCTTGATCCACACGGTTCCCTTGATGGTTGCAGAGAGACATTCTGAGGCAGGATTCATGGTTTGCCAGGCATCCATCTCCTCCTGTGGTTAGGTCAGGCCAAAAGAGAGAAATTGAAGGATGTCACTATTAAAAATACTTGGGGAGAAGCCAAGTGATTTCTCCCGCTTTCCACTCTTGCATTGTGCTCTGTACCTGACTGGGAGGGACAGGTATTCCCAACCAGGAAAAACGTCTTGCCAGTTTGCACAGCAGCGCTGGCACCCACCTTGTCTCTAGGACACTTGTAAGTTTGCAAAATTAAGTCAGCAATGTCCCAACTTGGATCAGTCTCAGTTACTAGAAAGACAGCCACACCAACTCTGGCCAAAAGCCAAGTGCTGCCGAGCTTCGTCGTTCTCGGCGCGGATCTGGACTTACCTGAATGAAAACAAGTTGTCGTTCTCTTTGGCTGTATCCTTTTCGGGAAGTTGGAGAATGATCTCATTTTGAGAAGGAACCAAGAATGACTTTAGTTCTGCTCGCTGCACCCAGAGGCAGTTCACACGGTGGTCCAGATGCGGAGCTTTGGGTCAGCGCGCATCTCAGCTCTCCCTTTCTTAGCTGTGGGTTTTGTTTTGTTGGGTGGGGTCAAGTTCCCTGACCTGCTGTGCCTTTGCTCCCTCATCTGTGAAGCAGGACTAATCATTGTACTTCATAGCTGTTGAGAGAATTAGATGAGCCAAGCATAGTGTCGGACAAGAGAAGCGCTCAATGGGTACTGTCTATTACTCTAACCAGACTGCCAGTGGGCATGTGGTGGCTCAGCTGACCTGCGCTAGCCACCTCGCTCCACAGACATCAGCCTCCTGTCTTGGCTTCTTTTCCCTAAACAATCCCTTAATCAAAACTCAAACCTAAGCAGAAGTTCTCAGCATTTCCTGTTGAACATGACCCTAATTCAAGCTTCATTTATTCTTCAGGTCTGTGCAATAAACATTCCCACACTGTCTCCTTTTAGCGAGCTTCTGGGCGAGGCCGTGGGAGGTTTTGGGGTGAAAAGGTAGTAGACATCGTCCTTGCTTTCAGGGAGCTTGCAGTCTGTTTGAATGGAAAGAAAGGTGCCCCATTTCTGCAAAACAACCCTAAGCGTGAAAACGGTCGAAAATAAGATGTAGACCCAACGACTCAGTTATTGGCCCTAAACCATGTCACTGTTCTGCCTTATTTTAATTATGGTTTCCCTTCTCTGTTATCATCAAATTAAAAAACCCTTGACATGGTTGTCTAGCAACATCGTTATATTGTCATTTTGCAAATTATGTGGAAAGAACAAATTGTTTTCAGGGAAAGTTTCAAGCAAATTTATGAGCTTATGGACAAATTGCCCATTATTGCTTTCAAAAAAAAATTTAAATACTGTCAATGGACTAATTTTCAACCTTAGAAAGAGAATACCATCTTTTGCATTTCTGGAGCTTAAGGTTTATAAATCTTGCTGCTGTGCACTTTCCCTCTGAATGCTTGAGGACACTGTGTTGGTGAGAGAGATAACGCAGTCTCAGGTTAGAAACACAGACAGAGGCTCAGAAAGGTCGCGTCTTGCCTGTGTTTGTGGACCGAGGGGCCTGGTAAGGTTTTGGAACCCAGGACCCCTGGCTTCAAATCCACTGTTCTTTTTGCTACATTACTCTGTAGGCACTAGTTATGCACGATTTCACTAACGTTTAATTAGCTAAAAGTGGAAACAGATAACCTTGAAATTAATTCAAGTTAATGTTCAATGTTGCTAACTTTTTATTAGTTGGATGTTTCCATTAACTTTTCTGGTGGCTGCTTTTTTGTACCTCCTCACAGCAGTGAGCAAAATTGAGTAAGTGTTCAGTAAGTGTTTATCGACTCAACAAGGAGCTTAGCCGGCCGGCTTTGGCTGCAGGGCGGGGTTAGAAGGTTGAGTCACTGAAGACAAAGTTGAGCATTTAATTCACTCATTTGTCAAGTGTTTATTAAGTCTCGGTTCTGTGTGCTGTGCTCCATGGAGTAGAACATGGCGCACATGTGCCCCTCGGCGAGTTGTTTAACCTCTTTGAGCCTCAGTTGCCTTGGCTTTAAAAATAAGGAAGAATAATAGTACTGAGCTCACGCAGTTGTTACTAGGATCAAATAAATTAATGTCTATAAAGAGCTTGGTACAGAGGCTAGCACATGGCGGTGGGTGCTCAGTAAGTGGTAAAGATAGTAATTAGCAATCTCCGTGCTATATCTTTGTATGTGGTTCATACCCCAAGTTTCTAGAGACTGAGTGAAGTAGTTTGTGGCACTCTCCACAGCCGGCACAGAGTGGCACAATTGATGTGTTCCAGAGGCAGGCAACGGAAGCAGAGCCAGGTTCCTATGGTCCTGATGGAAGAAAGGGCCTTCCCCCTTCATTTTGGGTGACAATGGGGGAAGGGACCCAGAGAAGGCAGGTGCTAGTCACACGCCATGCTCCACCAGGGGCCTCCACTCAGCATCCTTTGGGAACTCTGGGCCTTTGGGCCTTTTGGCCGACTGCCTAGGTCAGCTGTGTGTGCAGGGATGCAGGGGTGGGGGCTTGTGATACGGGGACCATGCTGGGTTTGTGCTACAGAAAGACAAAGCTGCCAAAGCAGGGCGCAGGTAGCTTGGATCTTCTGCGGTCTGGTGTCCCCTCTCCACAGTGGGAGGAAAGAGTGCTGCTGGGGGCCCCAGAGTGTTCCTGCCCAGTCCTCCCCCTGAGCAGGACTCTCTTGAAGCTGAGAACTGGGAGCGCAGGGGGAAGGGCCAGAGTGCTGGCCTCATGCCCAGGGACCCTTCCGTGCCAGACAGGGAAGGGGTGAGTGTAGGTACGGAGAGACTCTCCCTTTTGACTCGCCCCAGCCCAGGCTGCAGCTGGGCCCAAAGCACTGCAGTGAGCTGCTCTAATGAAGGGAGCTGCTGGCCAGCTCATTCCCAGTCTGACGTTCCTGCTGGCCCTGCCAGCAGCTGCCACCTATCCTAAGTGGGGAGAAGCCATTTAGGAAGACAGCAAAGCAACCTGCCACCCATCTGTCAGCAATTGGCTTCCATTAAGGATAGGACGGCTGGTGAGCGAGGCTGGAGAGGGGCAGGCTGGGAGGGAGGAAAGGGGACAAAGACAGCTCTGTCTGTTTAATCTCATCAGGTTTCCAAATCCCAAAGGGATTCTCGGGGAGCCTCGGTAGACTGGGCAACGTTGATTGTCCTTTCAAGGTGGCAGCTGGGTGCAGAGGTGTCTTCGCCTCTCTCTCCCATGGAAAGGAAAGAATAAAATGCCAATTTGCTGATCGTATCAATCTGCAGGAGGGTGTAAGGTTTATCATAAATTGTCCTGCCTGCCCCCATGGCTGTTTTTCTGTCCCCATTCTGTCTGATCTGTTCTATCTGTCTATTCCCATGTCTGTGTCTCCCAAGTGGCTGATCTTTCATGTCTGGTGCCATGTTTTCTTCCCTAGCTGTAGTGTGAGCAGTGGTTGCCAGCCAGGGAGGCGGTATTGCACACTGGAGAGGCGGTGCTTACAACTGTGCGGGATGGTGGTTGTCGCCATGAGTAAGGGCTGCTACGGGCTCTCAGCAATCAGTGGGTAGGAAACAGGGGTGCTATGCATCCTATGATGAGCAGGACAGTCCCACACAGCAAAGACTTATCCCACTCCAAATGCCAGTAGTGGTCCAGCTCTATGCAACAAGGGTTCTCAGAGGTAACTGGGCTCAAAGTGAACTGACTCATGTTAAACTCACAGGAGATGGATGAAGAGATGCGGTGGAGTAATTACAGAGGGGCTGTTCCTTTTCAGTGGACAGAGACGTCTAGCTGCTATTTGGAGCTCCTCCTTGTACCAGGCCAATAAAGTGACCCAGAGTCCAGCATGGAGTGGGGGCTAGGAAGCTAGCGCACCGCGAGGCCTGATGAACCAACGATCCCTTGTCTCTGTCGCAAGTGCTTCTCTAGAGCCCAGAATACTCGTGTCAGCCTGTGTCTCTCCCTTTAAGCCAGTGCTGGATAAACCCTAACAAACCCTTGTTCCTCAGCCCACTCCTACCTGTAGACCTGGGGAATAAGGTCCTTGCCTGGGCTCCTGCTTTAGAGGGTCTAGCTCTGGTCCTCCCCCTACCTGGGACCTTGGAATTCCCTATCCAGACAGCCCCAAGCCAGCTCCAGGGCATCTTACCCAGCGGGCGCCTCTTGAGGTCAAGGATGGCCAAGGGGCAGCTGTTCTACAGGGGGTGGGGAGCCAGAGCTTGGACATGGGCCTGATCTCTGGGAGAGAGCTGGGGCAGGAAGAGAATGGGCAGGGCCTACCCTGGGTTTCCTTTTCTGGGATCCAAGCCTGGCAACTTCTCCTGTTAGTACAGCCTTTTTTCCAGGAATTCCCAGACCTTAACTACATTCTCACCAGTTCTCCTGGGAAAACGCCTGTCTCCCCTTGACTGGATTGGGGGCCGTTCACTCTTCACTCCCCCAGACCTTGGGTTTCTCTCCACCACCTTCTCAGAAGGCTAATGACATACATTTTGTTGGCTTTTATACATCCTTTCTGAGGTTCTATGGAGCAGGTGAGGCTTAGGGTGGAACTGGGTCACTGCAACTTCCCATAGTGACAATGACCACCCCCCATGATGTCAGCTGTGACCCCTGGCTCTGTTCTTATGATGTCTATTCCTGTGTCTATTTTCCCTAATGTTTTGTTTATTCTGTTTTCTTAGAAGTTCTACCTTTTGAGGACCGGAGCACAGGACCATAAACTTATCTCATCAAGCAGTAAATGCGCAGGGCTGGTATAGCTTCCATAGAAATGTTAGAGCATTTGATGTCTCAGGCTGCAGTTCTAGCCGTTTCTTTGATCTTTTACTGACCAGTAAATTATTTATTAGGTCTGTCATAAAGATAAACCAAAGCCTATAAACTATATTTATAGTATCACAAAAATCTCCCCTCCTGCTCGGCATCTTTGGCGATGGGCTGCGGTCCTGATGAAGACGATGCAGCCGGGGCTGGGGCAACGCTAGGACCTTACTCACTTTTTTCCCACCTCCTTTTTTGTACCTTTTCTTTCTTTTCCTCTGAGCTATTTGCTTTCCTTCCTTGATTTTGCTTCACTTTCCCTTCCTTCTATTTTGTGGGGTCCAGAGCTGAGATTTTTGTGAGGATGGTTCTTAAGATCCCATCACCTCTCCCTGGCCTCTAGGAAGCCACATCCCTTCTCTGCCCGAATCCCAGACCAATCTCAGCTCCTCCCTACAGAAACTGACACTCCAGTCCCCAGCCCAGCGCCAGGCCCAGGGGCTGATTCCTTCCTCTGCAGTCATCTGCCTTGAAGCCCAGACTACCTGTCAACCCCTGGGAAAATGAACTGGGCCCAATCAATGGCCAGTTGCAGCTGACACTTTGGATTGTTGGGAGAATTCCTCCCAGAGTGTGCGTGGGTGTGTGCGCGCATGATTGTGTGTGCACGGGAGCAAAATGCCTGCCAGACACTAAGCACTTCCTTTTGTTTTATTTTTCCTTTGGCTTTTAACTAGCACCTTCCTCAATTAAAGTGGCAAGGCAGAGCAGACAAGGGAATCAGTGGATCTCTTCCCGAACATCAGTAAAACAAATTTCTCTCTGGGATACCTATTTGTTATTTGGATATCAGACTGACTGTAATCTGTTTCCATTTCCTTCTACGTGTCCCCCGCCAGAAGCTAGAGGCTCAGCCGTGGATATCCTGCTGTTTCCATTTGGCTGAACGAGGGGAGAGATTAGATTCCTATTTGCTATGCGGACTCTCCCATCTGACATCCATTAGATGTGTCAGGAAGAGCCCGGAAACTGCTGCGTCTCCCCTATTTATTTTGGGTGGGTGGGGTGGGATAGCAGTGGGGGGCGTTCTTGGAAGATGCCACCAGCTGCATCAAAGATACCAACATGGCTTTCTGTCTCCCTCTGCTTGGTAATAAATCATGGCCCAAGTTATTTCCATGCCGAGAGGTATGGATGTTAGGGACTGCTTCCTGCTGCTACAAGAGGAGAAGCTAGACCCAGGGTGAGAGGTAGGAAGAGTGCCTTTGACGCAGCACCCTAGAGACCTAGAGTGCAAGGTGCTCCATTGGACAGATGAGGAAACTGAGTTCCAGAGGAATGAAGTAGGTTGTTGCCACAAGACCACCCAGCTCTCTCCTCTGTTTTCTTTCCTGCTGCCAATTCTCCTGAGGGGTGCCTTCCAGCCCAGCCACTCCCTGCCTACCCACTCCTCTGAGAAGTGAGGCACGGATGTGTCATTCATATGTGTATCTGCTGCCAATCAGGAAGGCAGGGCCATGTCTAATATTTTGCTGTGTCTAATAAGCTGCATAGCACGGTGCTGGGCAGAGGTGAGCTCACAATACATCCTGGTCAATAGATGGGGCCCTAGGAGTTACCTCTGAGGTCGCTGTCCTCTATAGCAATTGCTTACCAACTCCTTAATATGTGCAGGTTTATCCAAATCTTCTAGCCCCTGGACCCCCAGGTCTGTGGGCCTCATTCCCGTCCTTCAGGAGGCCCATTCCTGCTGCCTTCGCCAACAGGCCCGCCTCTCCCCTCCTTCCCTACTTGACCCTTTCCTGTTCCACTTCCATCAGTGATGCTTTACCAGGACAGGCCTCCGCCATTTGCTTGGTCCTGCCCCCACTCCCAGCCCCACCCCCGGCTGCTGCTTTTCAGCATCCCCCACTTCAGGGGATGGCTCGTTTTTAAAGAGAATGCTGTTTCCTGTGACACCGACAATCCCTCAAAATTGACAAGACCTGTCTCTGCATCTCACACTCTGCCACTGGCTCTCAACCTGGGGCCTAAGTGACTTGTCATCTTCTCTTGTCAGTCGCCTGCTCGGCTGGCGCTCTTGCTCCTCCCTCCCCGCTGGAGCCATAATCCTCTCCCTTTGATATCACAATTGTCTCCATGGCACTGAGTGGCCCTCGTGGCTCAGCGGGGGCTCGCAGCCCTTGGAGAAAGATGGAAATAACAGCAACAAAGACTCTCTTAAGAAAAGAATAGTGTCCATCTCCACACGTGCCCCCCTCCCATCTCTTCCCCCTCCCCAGAAAAATATTTTTAGTAGAGAAGATACCCAGGAACAGGGAGAAGGGCAGAAAGGCTCTCAGACAGAAGACTCTTTGCCACTGCTGTTCCAAGTGGGATTATTTATTTTCCTCGTTAAGCAGCACGCCCGAGAGAGCTGGCTCCTGCCCTTGGTCTGAAAGGGGGAGCAGAGTGTCTGTCCAAGAGTAGGACAGACCCAGCTTCCGGAAGCTGGTGAGGAGCAGCTAGGCCTCCAGGAGGCCCAGTAAGTACACGTGCTGTAGGATGCCATAGGACTCTGGTCTGGGAGGCAGGGGGCAGGGAGGGATGGAAAAACAGGGCAGGTTCTGGATTCCCAGGGATCTGTCTGTGGTGCTAATGGCCTGGCACGGGACATGCCCACACCTCCTCAAGTCAGGCCTGGTGTTTTGTATGCCGTGGGGGTTCTGCTTGATTTCCCCAGACTCCACGCAGGGCAGTGTCTGAAGTCTCTTTTTCTCGGGCTGTGTGGCCTGTCACGCCAGGGGCCCTGGGTCAGCTCTCAGAGCCTCGGGGTCTGCTCCTGGCTTGGCCATTTGCTCCCTCTGTGCAGAGAGGAAAACATGGTGAAAAGATGCACAGATCTGTGCTGTCACTCACTGGGGGTGAGCACTCGGCAACTTTCCCAACCTTAGATCATCACATAATTGACGTAAAAACTTAGTATTAGGAAAAGAGAAAGCTCTTGATGCAACTGCATTTATTATGCTGTTTTAGACGGGTCGTTTTACCTCCGGGGTCTCAGTTTCCTCGTTGGTAAAGCGGAGCGGCATCTCGTCTTGGCACCTCATCATGGAATCACACGAGGAGGTGGGCATGGAAATCCTCTCTGAAGCGTGAAGTCCGAGGGATGGTTACTCGTACCTGCTTTTATACCCCAGTGTAGCTATCACTTAGGGGAGAAGGGATAGGATAGAATTTGTCTTAAAAGCTCAGAAATGGTTTCCAGGCTGCCCAAATCCCTTCTTATCTCTTCCTTGCCAATCTCCTTGTCCCTAACTTGATTTGGCCTCACCTATCCCCCCCAACCCTGTTGTTGCTCCCTGCTGACACCCCACCCCCAGGACAAAGTGCAGACTTCGTGCCTGGTTGTCAAGGAAGGCTCCTGGGGATCCGGCTCCCTGTCCTCCTCTCTTGCCATTCTCCCATTCACAGCCCTAGCCGATCTCCATTTTCACTTGTTAGAAAGTGCTGTACTGACTCTGGCCTCCAGGCCTTTGCACATGCTGTTTCTCCTGCCTGCTGATGCCTACTCATCCCTCAAGTCCTGGCTTAATTGCCACTTCCTCCAGGAACCCTTTTGATCAGGTGAGGTGCCCTTGATCCAGGCCCTGGCAGTGCATTTAACTCCTTGCTTGCTTATATTTCCCACTTACCATAAACCCTGAGAGGCAGAGGCCATGCCTGTTTTGTTCTTTGGTGTCCTCTGCACCCAGCACAGTACCTGATCCATAGCAGGTGCTCAAGGAACACTTGCTGCAGGAAGAAATAGTAGGCTGGTCCAGGACAAAAAAAAAAATGTGTTGGGTTCCACCCTAGTAACTTGGCCTGGAGTCATCTAGTTCACTGAGTGTCTATGAAGTGCCCTCTGTGAGCCAGACTGTCCACTAAGCCCAGGGAGCTGCTGGGCTGCAGGCCTGCCTGCAGCAGTGTAGAGGCTGAGTGGGCAGGCTTCATGTCAAGCGGAGCAGGATGGAGCCCTCTGCACCTGAGGCCTGACCCCGGGCTCCCCAGCCCTTCTCCCTGAAGCCAGCCTGTCTGCCCTTGGTAATCCCCAGCAGAGGGGTCTCGGCCCCAGCCCAGACTTTCACCTGATCTCTATGTCTGCATTGTCTGTGGATTTCTCATGCCGAGCATCAGCATAGTGGGAGGAAAGAGGCAGGACCACACCCAGCTGAACCAGCCAGGGCTCCAGCCTGGCTCTGAGAAGTCCTGTTTGAATATTAACATTCTGAGGACGAAGCCAGTGATTACATTTTAGACTTGCAAATGGGTTTGGTAAATAGGCTTTGCTGAGAGGTGGGACAGACAGCTGGACTGAGTGAGGATAACAGTGAGCAGCAGCACATGGTGATTAAGGAAGAGATTTGCTCCCCCAGAAGGAGACTCTCCAGGGGCTGCTTCCTGGTGAGAGATCTTTTAAATGAATTCATTTTGGCCATTTCTGCCTTCCTTCAGAGAAGAAGTCCCTGAGCATTGCTTTTGCTGTCTCTCTCTGAGGACCAGAGGGAGAGGATGCACCAAATGATAGGAGAGCACACTCACCCAACAGGGGTCTGTTGAAGAGTTCATTCATTCACTCATTCATTCATTCCTTCAACTAACTTGTGTTGTGCCCCTTTCTGCCAGGCACTGTGCTGGGTTCTGGGGACACAGCAGTGAGAAAGACTTTCATTCCCCAGTCTTCTCCACATCAGGATGTGGTCAGGGCCCAGGATGGAGGTTCGAATACCCTCAGTTCCTCCATTTTCATGTATCAGACCCAGGTGACTTTTCTATCCCAA